TCCCAAATGGAAAATAATCCCTGCTGCCACTCAGAAAGCCATGCACACTCCTGGCTACAGGACCTGTTGATGGTCCGTGTCTAACACAGTCTGTGCTTGGTCCTCTTACAACCCTCACTCCATCACCCATGTGAATGAGACTCCATACACCTCTCTGGGCACCATCAGAATTATCCTCACTGGCCCTGGTTTAAGTCCTAGATTTTCATGTTTGTTTGTGATCTGTGTACACATGTTTCCACAGCAAACAATCCTCTAGCCTGTGAGGTGTTACAGCAAGAAGCTGACCTATACTATGAGGTGTGGTCTGGGACATACAGAAATTCCTGGCTTTCCACACATCTCGTCTTGTGTTTCCTCCACTACCCTGTGGGCTGACAAAGAGACCTGATTTTCCCAAATGCCCTAGGTGTTGGCTTGCCTGCCTGCACCCCCAGGCGCACACCTAGGTGCTGTGCCAGCTTCTCCTCAGCCCACGGGCAAGTGAGCCATGCTCTCCTTGAGCAGAGTAAGGGCTGGAGTAAGAGGGTAAGCAGGGAAAGCATCTGTCTGCAGGGAGAGCTCATCTGTAGGGAGGTAGCACAACCAAGGACTTTTCTGATTTTATTTCCCATCCAACATGGGGGATATCCCTGCTCCCCCTTACAGTGCTCACCCCAGGGACAAATTTGTGAATACCTGCTTTCATGGCTGAACTCTTCTCAGCAATCCAAAGATTTGAAGTTAATTCTGTCAGAGGCCCAGCTGCCAAGTCATGACACGGATACCGCTCGCAGCTGATGCACAGCCAGGGTCATGACACTCTGTTCAGTCTAATTGATTTCTGAGTCAAGGGCCATCATCCTCTCACCAGCAGACACACTTTCAGGATGCAATTTCTTTGTTTCCGTTTTGCTCCCAAGATAGTTTGCTGGGGGAAATAAACAACACGCAGATTATACATGCATGCAAAATACCTGACGGTGATAAGAAAGGCCAAAGGCGGGTACTTTTTTATGTTACTTAGGATCATTCCACTTCTGAATGAATTATTTGAATCACTCATTAAAAACCAGTATCATTAAGGCTGTGATGCAGCTGCAAGTGTTGCTCAAATTGAGTACCTCTTTCGAACAGGTGAAATGCAATACCTGCTTTGAATATGTTACACATTAAATTGGTCTTGCCAACTGAACACTTGCCAACTTATTTTAACAACAGTTGACGTCTATCCTGTGGTAGGGAGAGGATATTAGTTATCAAGTTGTCCAGTTCCTTTTAAAGCTAGTGTTGACTATTCCTCATTAGTGCAGCATTTTTTCTCTCCATTCCTAAAGAAAGCTTTGGGCACAATTCTCACATGTTCCATGTGGCTCTTCTTAGGATGAAAAAGTATTTTACTCCAGACTTAAGAAAGAGTGCTTTTCAGTGCCCCTGTACTTCTGCCCTAAGAACAGCCCATGTCCAACCCAGCATTTCATTTGCACATTGTTTTTTCTCAAAGCACAGCTCTCAGCCTGTCTGCTGCACAGACACCACGCACTTTTTTGCATGTGCATTTGGAACTGCCATTTCTTTGTATATAGGGCAGGCCCTTATTGACCTCATAAACTCAATTCTGGTCAAAGGTATTGAGAAATGAAGGGCAATGATAAGCTGAACACTAAGGGTCTGATGTTGCTTTCTTTGCACCCCAAAACTTGTGATGTGATCCCAGGGAATTTAAGTTGTGCAAGGATTGAAAGAAATATTACCCCCACCCTCTATTTTATGGTTAACTGTTAGATAACAGAACGAATCCCTCCATAGCCATCACTCCATGCTCTTCATTGTCAAGATATTCTCACATTTTTGGCACAAATGATTTAGTGACAAAAGATGTTGCATTTGGTGCAAAGAATGCTCATCCATATTTTGCAACATTAAAATACAAATTATATATTGTAGGTCTAACAAAGAGTGCTCATGTGGAAAAGCATTTTCATCTGCTTCTTTTTTTTAGTAAAAAGCAATGATTTAAAAAACACACTTAAATTCAAGTATCAACATATTTATAATAAAGAACAGAAATAGTTGAAGCATTAGGTAATTATCTGAATATTCACAACATTTATGCCAAATTTAATATGATGCAGTCTGTGCTTTTATGGCATTTTTATTATGTTTCTAAAAAGTGCATGCTGAATTTTATAGAAAATAAAAATATAAACATTGACTTGAAATATCAGGAAATAATTTGTTCAATTTTTATTTTCAAAAGAGATGAAAAGTCCTATATTGCCTCTAAACCTCATCAGGGTTTTATGACTAATCACAGTGCTGCATGCATTGAAAGGCATTTTCTAACTTGTGTTGTATTTCATTGTTTGCTGTCATTGGTTTTACACTAGAATAAGGTAAGTACTTTCCCTGAATCAATATCAAATGTATGTTCCTGTTCAGCTACAGTTCTTGCACAGTTTTGTGAATGATGGGTCGGTGGAAAATCATTTGTACCCTCTGAGATGTACCACGTAGCTCTTGAGGGCCCCGACCCTGCAGCTCTTCCCCAGGGAGCATTGGGGGAAGTTAAACTTAGCAGAAAGCGTTCAGCAGCTCACCCCATACCACAGTGGGAATTTCACTGAGGCTGCGGTGAGAAGGGCTTCTGCGGTGCAATGAGACCTGCCAATGGAGGGCACCCAGCATGTTGCATGGGCAACCTCTCAGCTCCAAGGGGGAATGCCCGCTTTTTTCCGTAATTAATGGCCACAGAGCTGAAGCCACAGCCAGGTAGTGTATGTCAGTGAATCTGCATGGTGGCATAGCCACGTGTGCCACATAGACACACAGCAAGTGTCTCCCAGGAATTTCTTTTGTTTCTTGTAACTGCTGCTTTGTGCTGTCGCAGTTAACAGATACCACTAACCAACACAGTTACTGAGCTCTGGGGTCAAATCTTGACCTCACTGGAGCCAAAGAACGTTTGTCATTGAGATGAACCATCAGGACTTCAGTCAGAGCACATCACTTTTCTCATTATAGTACCGCACATCACTTTCCTCATTATAGTACCCACCTAGCTAAGCATTTATAGTTCATCCTCAAAATTTACCCCAAGCCTAGTCCTGAGAGCCATGCCATTGCTGTTTTCTAAGGCTTTGTTTATTTTTCATTTTGTTATCCAAATATTTTTGTTTCTATTTGATTCCTAGTGTGCCCTGTCAATTAAAAACAAAACCAGACAGAAATAATGAACAACATTAGTACATACTGGGGGTTTTTACTGCATATTTTTCATTCCATTTGGCTATGTTCTATTTTCATAAATTTTAAATTGCAGACTTGTAGTTCAAACTGTGCTTTAGGAAACATGAAATAGCCAGAATGCTCTATTAAAGACTAAAGACCCAGAGCGACTCTTTCTCATAAATTGCTTTATTGTAGGTATTTATTGAACATGCTCTAGACATAATTTTGTTCTTCTGTATTGGCTGCATATTGTTTTCATCTAAGTAGTTTAATTCCAGTGACTTCACTGGAAAGTTATTTAGGGTTTCCTACATAAATTGGAGCAGTATTATCTTCTATTTATTTTTAATAATGCACTCAAAACTGTCAAACAGATTATGCAGTAGTTGCTCCTATTAATTGCTTTTTTGCTGTTTGCTCCAGCAATACACAGATAATTATTTTGGATCTGTACTTTTCTGATTCACTGATGGTTCAGTGAATGCACAGAAAAGGCAGAAGGCTCAGCAGATGCTGACAGTCCATTACACACTTGCAAAGCAGCCAAGTTGCCACCAATATCCAAACAAAGGTTCCCTCCACACCCTCCATTACAGAAGGAGGGGTCTATTCCTAATACAGCTTGATGCTGTCTGGCATGTTTTGGGTGCTCCAAATGAAAGAACAACAGCAAAAGTATGGTAAAGCTTTTTATCAGTCTGTAAAAATACAAATTAAATCTGTTATGAATAGTACTGAAAGCATTCTTATATCCACCAAATGCAAGAAATGCATAAGTACTCCTGCAAACTATATAATTCTTACAGTGATCTTATAAAGCACTGTTGATCTCTATTATACAGTGCTTGCCTCCTACCAATATATAAAATGAATTCAGAAAAATAAATATAGACTAATTCTCATCTTGTTTATACCAGACTATACATACTATACAATATGATACGATACTATAATATACAGGGTATACCTATTGACCTATAGCAAGAGTTAAAATCATGCCATTTTCTATAGCAGGCATGAAGTTTTTATTTATGAAGGTTTTTTTGGCATCCAAACAGTAGTTGGAAATCCCATCTCAGACATTGGTGAGAACAAGTTTGAACCATGTTGGTCCAAGTGGAAAAAATAAGCATTTAGTTCTTAGGAACTTAGATTTCTCTTATTTTTCACACACTGCACTGCTCTGGTGTTCAGTGTAAGATAGGGAATATATGTGTTTTCTTTTTTTGTAACACCTTGATCATCCTATAAAATAACAAAACAGAATGATATACATAAAAATAAGTAAATCTCTTGTAAGTTATTAGGTAACCCCTGTTCCTTTTTTCAATTCTTTCTTTTCCTTTTTTTTTTTTTTTTTGCTTCCTTTGTTCATTCTTTTAAACATCTTCATCAACTTTAGGGCCAGATAGAAAATGGTTAGACATATGAAGTGAAATATAGGCCAGGTATACCCAGCAGTGTCCAAAACGGGTCCTGAAAAATCTCTGCTGAGCCATTGCTGAATGTGAGCAGACCAAAGGCAGGAGGGAGACAGGGAACGTGAAGGCCCCTGGACCAAGAACTGCAGTTCAGCATGTGCCCTGGCTGCTGAAGTCACACCCAAGCTGAGGATCTCACAGCCAAGCTCAGTCCTAAATTTAACCAGGTCCAGAAACAACAATTTTTTCAGCCAAACACATTGACAGGCTCCATTTGGTCCCAGGTACCTAGAGTTAGGCCACTCGGAGCTGGGTAGTGCTTTCTCCCTGGCCCCTGTCTCCAGAATTCCAGTGACTTCCAGCCTTCTCCCAGCAAAGAGGTGTTCCATCCTCACTTCATGGTTAGGATGCTCTCCTGAGAGGTGGGATGTCGCCTTGAAGGCCCTGTGTCTAAGGAACCACCCACTTCCCAGGCAATGGGAATTAAAGGGAAGGCAAGATTAAGACTTCCTTCAAGCCTCATGACCAATGGCAGCCACTTCCAGGAGCGGGTGTGGGGTCATGATTTCCCTCCTGCTTTCCTCAGTGAGGCACTCGCCATTGCACTGAGGGTGATGTTCCACAGAGACGACTATGGGACCAGAATAAAGACCGATCTTCCATGCTTCTTTGCACTTGAGCTACCAAGTAGCATTAAAACTATATAGACTCACCACTGTCACCGTCTCACACAACACTCTTACAAATTAGCACAGACCTTTTCAATTGAAGAAATCAGGATAAGTCAACCTCAAATATCAACCTCTCCCCTAATTGCCAAATGCTCTAGAGCGCTGCCTTACTGTGAGAGCACCAAAAGTTGTGCCGAGTCTAGATCTGTTTATATTCATTGTCACCAGGAGCTGGATTTTGTTTCATTCTTGTATGTACATTCCAGTGGCAAAAAAAAAAAAAAGTGTAATTTTCTGTAAAAGCAGGTGAAGAAACTTGCAAAGCGTTGGAAAACTAGTTGCAAGCAACTTGGAATTGCTTAGGGGTTTATATCCAAGATTTTGACACAATTGCTTTTATTCAATTTAGTCAACTACGTTCTAGATCAGCTGTTGAAAAAGGTGTAATTTTGTTACACGGATTTTTTTTAGATGAGGTTATCATACTACAGCAAAAGCTATTGCCTCTGGAGGATCATATGTATTTTGCAAAGCATGCAATTATTTCTTTTTCCTAAGGGCCACATTCACTAAAAATAAGCTTATGCACTAGAGAGGAAAAGAAAGTATGACTGATTACCATATGAGTATTTACTTTTTACTCACAGAGAAAACTCACAAGTGAAAACCTGCCTCGCACCCACAAATGGGAGATCTGTTGACTGTCATGTCTACTGCAGGCCTTTACTTCACAGATCACCTTTAAAATCTGATGGACTTCTTGGTTTGGAGGCTCCTGGTAACACTCAGTCCTTTGGAATAGAGACGCTTAGGCCAGGCATCCTTCTCCTACTTCAAGATGAAGCTAGAAAGCACAAGGTCCTAAGTGGGCAGGGAGGATTAGGAGAGGGAGTCAGAAATCAGCCGGAGACTGCACAGATTCACTGCAACTTTGCAGCTCCTTTCCCCTGGAAACCAAAAGAAAATTTCACCACACAGTCACCAGCAGTTGCTCCTGGGTGAAACTCTTTATGCCTGTTGGAGTTGTCCTTGGAGTTCGCGTGGGTAACGCTGTGCTCCAATCTCTTAAAGAAACTGCATCCTCTGACTGCATCTATGGGAGTATCTTGTATGCCATTTTTCCATGTGGACAAAAAGGCTCTCAGGTGGCTCTAAAATCTAGAGTCTGGCTGCAGTATGTGATACTATTTTTATTTTTACAAGCAGCTTTCTGATCAAAAGGTCTTTGCCATACCCTGGGACTCCACAGTGCAGTGTGCAAGAGTGACTGCCTCTCTTATAGCCACATCTCGGCTGCTAGAGCAGCCAAGTGTTCTACAAGTAGTAGGTCTGAGAGGAGACATTCTGTATCAGAACTACAGAATACACAAACATTTTCATTCTCATGTAATTCTGAATGCAGTTTGGCTGTAGATTTATGTAGACCTGTATTTATGTGTATGCACCGGGGGTATGGAGATGTATGTAAAGGGACCAAACCTGACCAAAGGCACAGCCAGAAAACGCTTGTGGCTCTTCTGCAGTCCCCTGCCGCAGCAGAGGCAGGAGAACGTAGAGGCTCTGTGGTGCTACACATGCAGTTCTGTGCCATGAGTAGACTCACAAGGATGCGCCACAGATGTTACAGCTCCATTTCCAAAGCTGCTGAGATTTGGAAACTGAAGGTGGGATCCAGCCTTTAGGAGTTAGATGAGTTTCAGGTACCAAAGTCGCAGACAGCAGTCTGGCCCACCACTGCCCTCTCATGGTTCTTTCTTCCCTCAACGGGAGAAGTAGACACCTACGTTAGGTGGGATGGGTCTTGCCCTCCAGGTAGGTCTTCTGAACAAGTGTCCCTTCTTTAATTAGGCTGCAGTCAGGCTGCCTCTCGCCTGGTCTCCTCCCAGACGTGATGATGCTTATTTCCTAGATCTTTCTTTAATTTTGGGTGGGGGTGTATAGGGGACAGAAATGTTAAGTCTGCATAAAAGTGTTGCACTTCAGTTCCTATATAGTAAAAGTGGAACATAACGAAGTGGAGTAAAGCTTTTCTTCTGTTCTCAAGATAAAGCAGTTAATGATCTAAGACAGAAGGATAACTACAGTATAAAACCACTGTAGAGAAATGCCCTATATTGAGAGGGTATGAAGTGCATATAGCTTTAGTGAATCTGGTCCTAGGCAGCGCAAGTTCTCATTAGCTGAAAGCTCTTAACCTTTCCCTAAGATAATGAACTGTAAATAAAAGCAAAGTGGGACAGATTCTCAATTGCCTTGTACCTCGCTGTTGTACAAAGTGTGCAATACACACCACTTTACATCGGGTTGAAAGGGCATGCAAGGAAAAAGAAGAATCTGTCCCACTAGCTCCCTGCTCCGAAAATGTTTACACTACATATAAAAAACTGACACTCTTCCTCCCCCCTGCCCTTTGATTTTAACAGCACTCGCAAACAAAATTACATGATGAATTTTTCACGGCAACATGGGCTCAGGCATTTCTACAACAGAAGACGAAGGTCACTTAGACGATATCCATGAAGAAACGAGAAATTTATTTTTTTCCTCCCAACATGTGATGTGTTGCTTTCCATTCTTTAAATCTAGCACTGCATCTGGTATCAGGACTTTTCTGCAACTGGCTTGATGAGTAACTGGAAGCCTTTCTCAAGACAGAGTGTACACCACTTTTTCGCACTGTGAACTAATGAGAAGTGACTTATTTTCTCATAGGTAAATGTTTTAATGTTGATGTGTCTGTGAAAATTGTGATCTGTTGTAATATCAGTTACAGTGGCAGTATTGGAAGTAAGCAACTAATTCTGTTTAACAGGAAAAAAAGTTTAAGCACAAAGACTTTTCAGATTTTATGTTTAAAAAACCTACATACTAAGTACAGAATTTAACATTCTTTGTCACATAGGTATTTATGTGCACTGTATTTCAGCTCTGTGTCATTTTGTATGATTAAGTTATCATTGTTTGTCCTCTTTGTATTCTATTCTACAACATGACACATTGGCACTGTATTTACTTGTTTTGTTGTTGTAATATTTTTGCTGCTGATTTTTGGGCTATTTACCTTCTGACAACATGTATTAAAAAAAAAAAATCAAAGTACCTAATCAAGAAGATAATTGCAAAAGTAGTTGTAAAGGCGTTGATATCCTTTGGTCTTATTCTTTGATATGTCTGTTGGCTAGCATTGTTTTGTGGATAAAAAAGAATGCTTGACATTAAACTTTTTTCTACTTCTAAGGAGTTGTGGATAAAGCCCCAAACAGAAGTTCCCAATTCCCTGTCTAAATGTAGTCAGTTCTCTGCAACTGTTTTACTTACAGTAACTGCCATTTGGTGTCTGTAGTAATGAAGTGATTTGTAAACAGTGAACCTTTCATGGTGTTCTCTTTCGTGTTTGTTTCTATTGCGGGTCATGTTTGTATCTTCTGATAAAGTTGTATCTACACCAGCAACGTTATAATGCCCCTATAGCCCTAAACCGTCTATTATCATAAATAAAATGCTTCACTTTATGGTGAACCAAGCTAAAGATCCATGCTTCAATAAAAATAATGTCAACAAACAATTCTGATGTTAGACTTTTCAAGCCATGCAGACTTTACATGAAATCATAAACCAAATTCTTTTACTAAATACCTAGATTCTAATGCAAACATCGATGGTATTTTTTAATATTTAGTACGTCACACATAACAGCACTTTGCAAATAACACAAACCAAGAGATCTTCCCAGTCCCACCCGTGGGCAAAACACGGTCGTTGGAACAAGTCCTTGTGCAAGGAATGAAACAATGAAATGGGACCACAGACCAATACACACTCTCACTTGTCTTTATCTGCAAACCCAATATGCAATGTGCAAATCGGCATTTCCAAGCTCTGAGGACTACAGTGCAGCACCTAAGGAACCTGGTTCAAAACAGACGAAGTTGCGAATTCTTAGAATCACAGAATCATTTAGGTTGGAAAAGACCCTTAAGATCATCAAGTCCAACCATTAACCTAGCACTGCCAAGTCCACCACTAAACCTAAGCACTACAACTACACAGCTTTTAAATACCTCCAGGGCTGGGGACTCAATCACTTCCCTGGGCAGCCTGTTCCAGTCCTTGACAACCCTTTCAGTGAAGAAATTTTCCTAACATCTAACCTAAACCTCCCCTGGTACAACTTGAGGCCATTTCCTTTTGTCCTATCACTTGTTACCTGGGAGAAGAGACCAACACCCACCTCTCTACAACCTCCTTTCAGGCAGTTGTAGAGAGCGGTAAGGCCTCCCCTGAGCCTCCTTTTCTCCAGGCTAAACAACCCCAGTTCACTCAGCTGCTCCTCATCAGAGAGAAGTATCATATATACCTGCTATGCTCTTACATCATGCACATCGGCTTCTAGCACCGTACTGGTCTGAACCAGAATGGTGTTTGTTACACATTCATGCTCAGTGATCTAAAATGTGTTTAATTTTTAAGAGGTTTTTGATCAAAGGTACCTTTACCTTTGGAGGTAAAAAAGGAGGTAGTTCAGTGACCAACTAGTCAAAACCTTGGCTTGGTCAAAATTACGCAACAGCCCTTTGACACACCTGGAAACGTCCTGCAACAGCCCAGCCTCCTGCAGCTGCAAACTCGCCTGTACTGTTCCGGAGAACTGTGTGTGCGCTTTCAATCCTTGAAACAAGATAAAGAGTCTATTCAGGGAAAGACCAGGAAGAAAAAAAATGAGGTTATTAAAGAATATGATAACTTAATGTTTGCACAAGAGATTTTAAAATATTGTAATAAAATTTTCGCCCACTGAACAAACAAAAATGCAAGATCTAAACACTCCTGTTTCTAAAGATAATTTTATTTGCTCTAATATGTCAATAGATGAGTGATATTTCAATCTAAAATGCATGTGCAGCTAGTGTGTTGCTAGGGAATGAATTTATTTTAAAGACTTTAGATACAATGAGGAACATAATCAGAGAAGCTGCTTTTCACAATTGTATTTATTTCCTTTGAATAACATATGTAATTATGACTATTGAAGAATCCCGAGGCATTTCACCAGAACTCACTACAAACTGGGCACAGGCTTTTCTCAAGAAAATCATCCCCTCTGGTAGGTTCCCAAGTGATGTTGTTATTTGCCCTTTCCAGATTCCAGGAAGTTCTTCCTTACATTTTTTCCATTCCTACAACACACAAGGTAGTGTACACCAACGTCATGCTCAGTGTATGTACTGTTTTATTTTTCCTCCCATATGACTGAAAATAATGAGTCATCTGACATTAAATAGTTGTTAAAATAGCAAGGATAATGCAGCACATAATCAATGGCAATAAAACGGCGTCAGTGCTATAAAATGTACTAATAAGCTTATCTACTGGTATAAAACTTTGGCAGGCATAACTATGAAAACTGATGCTTTTAGTATACCTTACATCTTCCTCATTTCTCCTATCACCTCACTAATCCACGTTCCAGTGGAATAAGGAGAACATAAGAGAAATGAAATAAAAATACAGGAAGATGAAGCTCTGACCTGCTGGAGTTCCTGGAACAACTGAAACTTGAAGTTCTCATAATTTTGCCTGAATGTTCTTCTCTTGAGCTTGCTTCATCCACAGGTGATAACAATACCTTAGTGAGAGGAAATGAGTGTGGTACAAGTATTTTGAAGGACCGAATTAGGCTTTGCATGAGCTTGACAATTTAGAGAAGTGGGTAGAAATGAAATACCACAGCAAATATACTCAAGGACAAGACATTGTCAAAGAGCAAGGTACCAGCACACAAAATGGGTAAATATCTGGCTAGGCAGCAAAACTATAGGAAGAGAATCAACAGCGTAAAGCAGTTTAAAAAAATGCCATTTTGCATTATATCAATAGAAGTGTTTCTGGTATATGGCTGGTAAACTAGATGACAGTTGTCAGCTGTTGAGCCCTTCACTTAAATACAGATGTAAACAAGTTGGAGGGATTGCAGAGTACAGCAGCAAAAAACAAGACCCTTGAAACCATCCGCTTCCAAGTAGAGAGAGTTGGTTTGTTTAGTCTAGAAAGGAAAACATTTGGAAAGAGACATGACAACAGACATAAACACGGATCTATGTTTCATTTTCTTGCTAACCCTTCAGGGCAAATGTCCCTGGGTGGAAATGCAGCCACAGCATCACCTCATCATTTATCCATCAGTGGGGAATGGGGTTTGGTTATTATCCGAGCAGGAAGCCGGTGTGAGGCTCTACAAGCCCCGCTGATGGATGCACAAAGGGCCACGCGCAAGCAGCAAGGTACAACAGATAAACCCCGCTCAATTCAGCTCTGTAGCGAGGCTTAACTAGATATGACCAAATGCTGGAGTAACAGGAACAAGCTTGCTGTAGAGGGGAGCTACCTTGATCCTGAGCTGGTGAGGAAGCCTCAAAACCAAATGAGATCAGCAAAAGGGCTTTGCCTACCTTAAACATGGCCCCAAAGAGCTCTCCAAGGACTGTTAGCAATCTGGAGCCCACGTGTCCGCTTGCAGCACATCTCCTGTGAAGGAGCAGATGGAGCACCTACCATCCGCAGGGGGTGGATCTGCTCCTGGGAGAAACGACAGTGAGATACGAGGCTGCAAAAGTCACACGCGTGACACGTGGACGAACTGCCTAGTGTTATCCTGTGTTACTGATGGTTTACGACTGTTGGTTTTTTCTCCCCCGTGTCTTCTCAATTCAGCTGAAGGGACCAACCTGGCAGCAAGCCTAAGGACTTAGGCCTGTGCATGGCTAATTATCACAGAGCCTTATGGGGAGAGTTTGAGCCAGCACCCAGCAAGGAGGGGCCAATAAAAATGGTATTCCGGGGATGGAGGAGTAGTGTGCTGGAGGGCACTGATAAATGCTGGGTTTATAGTTTGAAATCTGTATTTCTTTTGAAAGAAAACAAGCTTGTTAAGCTTCTTTAGGAAAAAAAAAAAAAAAAGAGGATGTGGTTGTGCTTTTGAGCTATGGTGCTCTTTCAGTCTGCAAAAGAGTTAGCGGCAAAGAAACTCTTTCAGAGGGCTCAGCTGCTTCCCTGATTGCCTGTGGGCCAAAGGCAGGACTGGGGGAGGTACCGGGCAGCCACAGGTTTCGGGGCCACTTCTGCATTAGAATCATAGAATCGTTTAGGTTGGAAAAGACCATTAAGATCATTCAGTCCAGCCATTAACCTAACATTACCAAGTTAACCTAACATTAACCTAACATTACCATTAACCTAACATTACCAACATTACCAATTAGGATGCTATTGCTGATAGCACAAGAGTGGGCTGATAGCCCCAGGTCCCTCTTTC